TTAGAGAAAATCAGGACAGTTAGATGAGATTTTGAAAATTTTGGCGGCCCACATTTGACACAGAGCCAAAAGATCAGACATGCTTTAGTCACAGAGGTAAGTAAGACAAGTCTAGGCTGTACTTCACACAATTAACTGAGATAATGAGTGAGCAGAGTCTAAAGATTCGCAGTAATTACTTCATTTAGGAGATGTCAGGGAATAGAAAATAAATCTATTGAAAACAAACTTGCTTTGGAGATAAGTTTAAAAAAAAGCTCAATTATAACTCTTGTAAGAGTAATGATCAATTCTGCACTTTCAAGCTCAGCAGCTACTGGATTCCTGATTTATAAAGCGGATGTTTGACTCCAGGGAAAGCAATTAGCATCCCTTTCACAGCACAACATCAATGCATAGGGTTTCCAAAAGCCAGAGGGCATTGTAAAAGAATGCATGTAATAAAGTCAGTTGGAAAATGGGATTTACATAATGCTCTCTGGGTTCAGAAAACAGGCCAATTTTTACTATCTTATTAATGAGGGGTTGTTGTTGTTGTTGTTATGTGCCATCGAGTCATTTGCGACTCGTAGCGACCCCATGTACAAGAGCCCTAAACGCCGTTCTATCCTGTGCCAACCTCACTGTCTCAAACACATTCATTCCCACCACTCCACTCACAGAATCGATCCATCTCATCGCGGGTCTTCCTCTCCTGCACTGTCCCCTCCACTCTCCCAAACACGCTATCCTTCTCCAAGGACCAGTCCCTCCTTGCAACATGCCCAAAATATGTCAGACGAAGCTTCAGAATCCTTGACTCCAGGGAACATTCTGACTTCACCCTCTCCAGGACAAACCTGTTCTCTGAGCAGTCCATGGTATATTCAACACTCTTCTCCAGCACCAAAACTCAAAGGCATCAATTCTCTTCAAATGATAGTTCCTGCCAAGAGCTTTCTCACCTATTGCGACTGAGTCTGAGCCATTCAACCAGAAAAGCAAAGAGCAGTGGAGCAGAGACGCCCCTAACTGTTGTTGTATGCTCAGAAGTCAGTCTGTCTTGATCAGTTATGTCCTCCCAAGTAAAGGTTGGATTCATTGCTGTTATGTGCCACTGAATCGGAACTGACTTCTAGCTGACCTTCCATCAGGTTGTCAGAGGCTATAAAATGACATAGAAGGAGACTTTCCATCTTTCTCCCACACAGCAGCTGGTGCATTGGAAACTTATAGACCACCAGAGCTCCCTTGATTTCACCAAGCCTTGAGATACCACAGAAATGTGTTCGCTGGGAGGGAGATGTGTCTACTAGTTAAAGAATACAAACTGGTGGCCCAGTTCAGTTTACTGACTCAGTAAGTTGCTATGTCAACAGAGCAGAAAGATCAGACTGAGTAGTCAGCTGGAGCTTGCGTCTTCTAGTTCTAGCAATCACAGAAAAAGGACAACTGTTCTTTCTGGCTGATTAACAACTGCAAAAATTCCTTACATCAGGAATGCAAACAAGTAGCCACTTGCAAATTATTTGGATCATAGAGACCGTCCTTGATTTGCTATCAAAGAAAGTTTGTTGTTTTTTTTTTTTAAAGTGATTTCAGGGTTGAGTGTCAAAGAAGAGACAGGCTGGGAGTCAGAATATTGCAGATGTACAGAGTCAGCCTTGTTGGGTTGAATCATCCAGTGCTGAGGATGTATTTGCTGATCCAAATATGGACAGTCAACATCTTAGCCTCTACAAGCGTGAAAACCCAATACCATCTTCTCTCATGTTTATTTCAGAATTGTCTTTTTACATTATATCTCATGGCAATGATCATTGGGAAATTATGTGTAAAAGAAATTACAGACTTGGCATGTTAAATTTTTGCCCTGCCTGATAAATGACCAAGGAGCCCTACCAGTGCAGTGGTAAAATACTGAGCTGCTAACTGAAGGTTGGTGGTTTGAACCTACTTCCCACCCCACAGAAGAAAGACCTGGTGATTTGCCCTCCTAAATACTCTGGGAAACTCTATGGAGCAGTTCTGCTCTGTCATTTAGGGTCATCATAAGTCAGAATCATCTCCATTGTAAAAAGCAACAAACAACAGCTGAGTAAGCGGGGTAAGTAACTAACCCAGAGGGTGGAGGTTCAAATCCACCCAGAGGGATCTGGAAGAAAGGCATATGGGTCTGTTTCTGAAAAGTTAGTCACTGAAAAACTGCAGAGGACAGTTCTACTCCGGCATCATGGTTTGGAATCAACTCCAACGGGTTTGGATTATTTTTCATTAATTACTGGATCTAGGCAATAATCATCAGTGACTGTTAACATCATGAAACAAAAACAAACCAGCTACTATGGACCTCATGCTGGAAGTGTGCCAGCTCATATATCAAGTAAAGAGTCTTTTCCCTCCATCAAAATAAAACTAGAGTCTGATCATGCCTCAAATTCAAATAGAATTCAAATTATTCAGCACTCAAGGGCAAAGATTTTGAAAAATACAACATAACTGGGAGAGACTGGAAAGCATTATGCTGAGTGAACTAATCCAGTCTTTATAAGGACAAATACTACGTAAGACCATTATTATAGAAAATAGAAGGCTAGCAAGTAAACTGTGTATAGCGATCCAAGGGGGGGGGAATGGGAACATAAGGATGAGGATGGGCAGGCGGGTAATCACAGGGTGGCACAATTTGGTGGGTGGAAGGAGGGGGTAAAGAAAATGGAAAGGATACACTGGGAACCTGAAAAGACAAAGTAATGGTAGGCACAATTCAATGGTGAATAATAAAACACTATGTATATAATAATAATAATAATAATAAAATACAATGTACAACACAACAACAACATAGAAATTATTGCATGAAACACAAGGTGAATGAAATAAAGTGTGAAACACAATGTGTACTGATTTTGTATGCAAAACAATATAAAATTAAAATATTTTAAAAATAGAGAATTCAAGGGGAGATAAACTTGTGTAACTGAATGAAAAACAAATTTCTTTGTAAATTCTCAAATAATAATAGAAAAATCATGCAGAAAAATAAAAAAATATCAAATTACAAATTTGTAGAAAATTCAGGGAAAGAAGAAATTCTGGATGTGCGATAACAGGTTGGATATCCAAACAGCAAATTCCTAAGGATAAAACAACTACAACAATAAATCCAAGATAATTAACTCTGTTTCTCCAGGAACAGTAGAGATAGAGATCAAATGGTCACAATGCATAGACCTATTTTGATCCCAAATGTAACAGATTGTTAAGTTTATTTTTAAATTCTGGCCGATGTGACAGGCCTTTCATTTTCATACACCCTTCCCAGCTGGCTGGAAGATGCAAACAGCATTTGTGTGGTCCCCACACAAACAAGGACCACAGCTGAGGCAGGAAGAGATTTAAATATGAAGGAGCTAGATCATTAAGGACATCCTGGAGCACAGCCTCTGTGCCAACTAAAATGTGCCCAGAGTGTTATGACAAGATCTTTGCTGCTAGAATGAGTACTTCAATGGAACTTTTCTCAGTTTCATCAGTCTACTAATGGGAGCAGGCACCCCCTAGCTCCAGTTAATGTTTTCACTTAACTCTTAACACAGGGAGCTCTAGTGGCCTCCTGGCAAGGAGTTGTGCTGCCAATTCAAAGACGTGTTAAAATGCAGGTGTTCAAATCCAGCAGCTGCTTTGCAGAAGAAATCTCCTTTGCAGAGCATCTCCTCTCATGTGATTTACAACCTCTGACTACCTACGAGCTGGAGGGTCAGCTATGAACCAGTTGCAACTTAATGACACATAACAACTCAATATAAAGCTCTATGTGTGTTTGTGGGTTTGGAAGAGGCTGGTGGCCCAGTGGTTATGTTTTCAGTAGTTTGAACCCACCAGCTGCTCCGAGCATTGGAGAAAGACAAAGTGATTTATTTCCATAAAAATTTCAGCCTTAGAAAACTCATGGGGCCATTCTACTCAGTCCCGTAAGGACACAGGAAGTTGGAATGACTCAGTGGCAATGCAGTAGGTTGGGTTTTAGTAGTAGGAAGTTGGATCCATCAAAACGTATGCCCCAGACTTAGGTTCTAACAGGAATGTGGGCTTAATTCCTCATTGATATTCGGCATGCATGACTTTTCTGGCTTTGAAATCTGAACACTAGAGGGAATCCATCTGTTTAATAGGAGAGTTTAGGACTTATTGTTTGTGAATTTTTTTATCTGGGTACTTTTATAACCAGTGCTGTTTTCTAACTGTAATTGTATTGGATATATAAAATAGGGCATAAATCCTCTCGTAAATTATATATAATAAAAAAATTGGATTTTTTTTATTACAGCAACATCAAATTAATTTTTTTCCGTGCTTTATTTAAACTTCATAGAAATATGGCAATCTCCTCTGGCGTAATATACTGCCTCTGAAAACCTGCTGGAAGGTCAGCTATGAGTTGGTTTTGACTTGATGGTACATAACAACAACAACATTAATTCTGACGTAATTAAACTACCTGACTGAGAGTGAAGAGTTGTGGTAAGGAGTGAATTTTGGTTCAATTAATCAAAAGATCTATGGTTTGAACCCACCAGCCGCTCCTCAGGAGAAAGAGGTGGCTGTTTGCCTCCACAAAGATTGAACTCATTGCCATCAAGTTGAAACCAACTCATAGCTGACATTCCAGCATATTTTCATAGGCTGTAAACCATAAGGAGGAAAATGCCCACCTTTCGGAGCTGTTGGTGGATTCAAATTGCCAGAAAAGTTGCCTTCTTCTTGTGTGGCCCAAGCCGGGTCGGTGGGCGGTCGGGGGTTCTGGGTTGTGCGCGTGGTGGTTGCTCGGCGTGGTCTCTGCAAAGGGTGGTCCAGCTCGTCGTCTCCCTGCGCTGCCTTTGCGACTCGATGGGCGCGAGCGAGGGGGCCGCCCAAGCGTGATCTGCTGGGCCCTGACCTCATCACCTGGAAGAGCCCATTCACCCTGGACGATCCCTGCAGTAGCCTCGATTGACCTTGAAGAGGATGACTGAGACACTATGGGCCATGCACTGTGTGTCTGCTCCCGGGGAACTGTCATCATTGACAATAAACGATACCTCTTCATCCAGAAACTGGGGGAGGGTGGG